CCCACTCCTTCCTTCCCCCTCCTTCTTGGATTAGGAAAAGGAGGGGGGAAACCTACTTGGAGTAGGTTTCCCCCTCCTAGGGCGCGCCTCCCCTTAGGCCGGCCCCCTCCTCCTCTCCTCCTTTATATACGGGGGCAGGGGGCACCCCATAGAAACACAAGTTGATCTACGGATCGTTCCTTAGCCGTGTGCGGTGCCCCCCTCCACCATATTCCACCTCGGTCATATCATCGTAGAGTTTAGGTGAAGCCCTGGGCCGGTAGAACATCATCATCGTCACCACGCTGTCGTGCTGACAGAACTCATCTCCGGAGCTTTGCTGGATCGGAGGCCGGAGATCGTCATCGAGCTGAACGTGTGCTGAACTCGGAGGCCCCGTACGTTCGGTGCTTGGATCGGTCGGATCGTGAAGACGTACGACTACATCAACCGCGTTGTGCTAACGCTTCCGCTTACGGTCTACGAGGGTACGTGGACAAACACTCTCCCCTCTCGTTGCTATGCCATCACGATGATCTTGCGTGTGCGTAGGAAATTTTGTGAAATTACTACGTTCCCCAACAGAAGGATCTTCGGACCAAGGAGGTGCTAGCTCGGTTCAATAGTTCTGGCGATCCCTACACCATCCGCAGCCCCACCTCCGTCTCATCTCCCCATGCCATGCTCGCCTCCGTCACGCTATGGCATCGTCGTCTCGGTCACCCCAATGCCTCCACGACAACTAGCCTTCTCCAAGAATTTCAGCTTCCTCATCTTAGAGATGTTCATGATGCGTCTTTGTGTCACGCTTGTCAAATGGGCAAGCATGTGCGCTTGCCCTTTAGCACTTCTAGCACTCGTAGTTCTTTTCCATTTGAGTTATTGCACTGTGACTTGTGGACGTCACCTATCCCTAGTGTATCAAGTTTTAAGTACTATCTTGTAATCCTTGACGATTATTCTCATTATGTATGGACCTTTCCCATTCGCGCAAAATCTGATGTTCATAACCTTTTTGTTAATTTTCAGCGCTATGACGCCTCTCACTTCTCTCTCCCCATTAGGTTCTTACAATGCGACAATGGCAGCGAGTTCGATAACACTCGTAACCGTGATTTCTTTCTTGCTCATGGTGTTCTTCTCCGCTTCTCCTGCCCCTACACCTCACCACAAAATGGGAAAGCCGAACGAGCTCTTCGCACCATAAATGACATTCTCCGCACTCTTCTCATCCAAGCCTCCATGCCACCACAATATTGGGCTGAATCACTACGTCATGCCACCTATCTTCTCAATATCCGACCCACTCCAAGTTGCCCACGATACTCCCCATACGACTCCCTCTTTCTCTCCCCTCCTTCTTATTCTGATATTCGCACATTTGGTTGCCTTTGCTTCCCTAATATTGCTCCTACTACACCACACAAACTCTCTGCTCGCTCCCTACCTTGTGTCTTTCTTGGTCTCTCTGACTCTCACAAAGGTTTCCGCTACCTCGACCTCCAAACCGGTAGAGTTCTTGTCTCTCGCCACGTTACTTTCGAAGAAACATCTTTTCCTTTCGCCACTTTTCAACCATCAGACCTTAGCGCCCCCCTCTCTTCTTCTCGTCAGCTCGCTTCCAACCCCAGCCCGATCGACGTGCATGGGCTGCATGGCCCTGTTCACGTCCCACCACTTGCGCACCAATCTGCTACACCTCCTCCCACCCCGCATCCCGCTGCCAGTGCTGCTGAATATTCTACTCCCACCGCGTCACCCCATGCTGCTTCTCCCACTACGCCGGAACCACCCACCATCCCTCCTCCTGCCTATTCCTTCGAGCCCCAATCACCACCGCTCGCTCGCTGTACCTCTTTGCCTACCCCCAACTCTCCTACATCCCCTTCTTCTCCCATCATAGCCACCCCTCCGCCATTACCACCCAAAGCCGTGCTCGTTCCTATTCCTAAAAATGAGCACACCATGCGTACTCGTGGAAAGGCTGGTTTCGGTCGCCCTATCGACCGTCTCAACCTCCATGCATCGGCCACTCCTCTCTCTCCATCCCCAAGTCCTACAAAGCTGCTCTTCTTGATCCAAATTGGTTTAAAGCCATGAAAGAAGAACACGATGCCCACCTCCTTAACAACACATGGTCGTTGGTTCCCCGTCCCCCTGGTGCAAATGTAGTCTCTAGAAAATGGGTTTTTCGCCATAAGTTTCATTCCGACGGTTCTCTTGCGCGTTACAAAGCACGATGGGTTTGTCGCGGTGACTCCCAGCAAGCAGGCCTAGATTTCGACGAGACATTTTCTCCTATTGTGAAACCCAGCTCCATCCGTGTTGTTCTTAGCCTCGCCGTCTCCTCGTCTTGGCCTCTCCATCAACTCGATGTAAAGAACGCTTTTCTTCATGGTTCTCTCAATAAGACAGTTTATTGTCGTCAGCCGCTCGGGTTTTCGCATCCCACCTTCCCTGATGATCACGTGTGTCATCTTCAGAAATCCCTATATGGTCTCAAACAGGCGCCTCGCGCTTGGTTTCAACGCTTTGCATCCTTCATTCAGACGATTGGTTTTCTTCCCTCTTGATCCGACTCATCCCTATTTGTCTTCAAAAACAATGATCATGTTGCATATCTTCTTCTCTATGTTGATGACATTGTTCTCACCGCATCCTCGGATTCTTTCCTTCACCATGTTGTTAGCTCTCTCCGCACAAAATTTTCCATGACAGATCTTGGTCCACTGCATCACTTTCTCGGCATCGCTGTCTCTCGATCTCCTTCTGGTCTTTTCCTTTCTCAGCGCCAATATGCTCTCGACTTGCTTTCCAAGGCCGGCATGTTAGACTGTCAACCATCCCGCACCCCCGCTGAGACCGGTTCCAAGCTTTCCTCTGACGGTGATCCCATTCCTGACGCCACTTTTTACCATAGCATCACCGGTGCTCTTCAATATATGACCCTCACCAGACCCGAGCTAGCATATTCTGTCCAACAGGCATGTCTATACATGCATGATCCTCGTCTCCCACATCTCAAGCACATCCGGCGTATCCTTCGGTATATCAAAGGGACTCTCGATCATGGCCTCTCCATTACTCCTTCTAATCCTACCTCTCTCACTGCGTACTCTGATGCGGACTGGGCAGGATGCCCGGATACTCGACGATCTACTTCTGGTTACTGTGTGTATTTGGGTGATAATCTGATTTCTTGGTCTTCCAAAAGGCAGCTAACTGTTTCCAGGTCTTCAGTCGAAGCAGAGTATCGCTCTGTTGCTCACACCGTTGCTGAGACAGTATGGCTTCGTCAACTACTAGCTGAGCTACATCGACCCATTCAACAGGCTACCATCGTGTATTGCGACGATGTATCCGCTGTGTATTTATCATGTAATCCTGTTCAGCATCGTAGAACCAAACACATAGAAATAGATATTCACTTTGTTCGTGACAAAGTAGCCCTAGGAGAAGTTCGAGTTCTTCATGTCCCGACAAGTGCTCAATTTGCTGACATCTTCACCAAGGGGCCGCCGCCCGCATCCTTCATCGACATCCGTGCC